TGTACCACAAATACATGATTTAGGTGGTAGACCTCTTTGTTGCAGGTATTATTATTTAATTTATGCAAGAGCTTAAACCTTTTAAACATTTACTTATGTTATTCCGTACTTAATGTAGGTGGGCTGAAGATCGGATACGTGAGCTCCCCTCTGGCAACACGTTGACATATCGTGATGAGTTTGACGGTTTACGACTATCTCAGGTATGACAATATTTAGAACATTAACACTTATCAATTTTTTGCCATATGTCAACGTGTAGAAATCCTTCATTTGTATACATGTAGGTGAGCCTGACTCCATACACGGATGACATTCTACCAACTTTGCCTGCCGAATGTTTGGAGGGGATCGAAATATGGCGTGCTAGAGTGCCCCTCATTAGCTGGAAGCGTACCGAGTGGCATCTTCCTGATCGTGTTATGCGACAATTTGGGGGAATACAATTCACAGATGTTCGACCGATGGAATTAAATTTCAGAAGGATTGATGGAAGAGGTCGAGCTGATCTGGACTGGACTGTTCAGTATAGAGATTACCTGGAAATATGGGAAGATAGGAGAGCATATGTAGTAGCAATAACCCGGCCAGAAGGAATTGGTAATCAGGAGTTAGGTACTTACCTACGGTGGTATAGGTCATGGGCTTCAATCTATTTGTTACAGCCTCAAACAGAACCGCCAGAAACTTTTTTTCCTCGCTCCCCAGGCGAACGATTAGTGGTACGTCGCAATAATATATATTTTTAGTAAATTTGTGATAAAGCATATTTTGATAATCATTTTAAATCGTGTAGGCTGACTACTACATACGTTCAAGTGCAATTCTTGAGCCATTGGCGGGGGGTCAAGGACAAAATGCCAGTTCATTACAATTAGCAGTTGACCAGGTCTCCGAGCTTTCCGCCAGAGTGCAGCGATCTGTTTATATCGACTATACTACTTTTGACACCACACTACCTGAGATGAGTCAAACCAGGGACGCAGGAATAGGTTCTCATGGCTCTCAAGGGCCAAGACGATCAACTTCTGATGCTCCATCTAGATCCAGGAGAAGTCGACGACAGCAGCAAACTGAACGAGAACCACCACGACATTCAATGCACATTCCATCGAGCGCCTATGACATGTCCGGGGCTGGACCCTCCACACAACATTGGCGCCCATTGGCGTCACAAGAAACCAGTGCACATGAAATATTTTATGGTACACCATCCCAACATCCCTCAACACAAACATTTATACCCATATCAATACCAGAGTGGATGTTAGGGGTTGGGTTACCAACCTCCCCCTCGCAGCAAGATATATTACTAATGGGAGGACAAACTTCTGAACAATATACTGATGTGAGGCAACATCGACCAGAACTTCCACCACAAGATGAGGAATTTATTGAGGAAGAGCAACAGCTACAACAACGCAGAAGAAGAGCTCCAGATAGATATACTCCTGGTAGTAGGGCTCTTCCTCGACATCGATAGATGGTCTGGGTTAAAATTTTCTCTATCTTATGCTTACTACTTTATGTATGTTAATGTTCGATGATCTGTAAGACAACATAATACATCATATTCATGCTCTCTTATTTATATTCAGCATGCAAATTATTGTATTCTATACGTTTTTTCATACTTGACTTGAATATTATTCCAAGCCATTTCACAACATTTTTCGCTCCTTGTTCATAGGAATCCACATTTTAAGCAAGAAGAAGTTTATTATTACAAAATATTCTCAGAGGTCAATGAAAATATGAGAGGCGCACCTACAAACCAACTAATAGAAGAAGGAAGTAGCCGTATACATGAAAGTTTGGCTTATAGCCCAGATGAGATCCTAGAAGCAAAAGCAACTACAAATGAAATTTTTAGATGTCTTCTACATACTTGGGGGGAAGACGAGGATGTTGTCCTGTGGCATGAAAATGATGAAATTATGAAATTAAGGCAATATAGGTCTGGCTATGAACTTCGAGCAAGTGGTTGGAAGTTGTTACAAGAAAGATTTAGCGATATGAACGGCCACCTAGTATCATTAAATTTTATAAAGGATCGTATTCGAGAATTGGGGTGCGATAGACACGGTAATGTTGAGCCGGGGATAGGAATATCAATGGTTGATATGGATCACTGTATTCTATATCAACATTGGTCGCATAAAGAAGACAAATGGCTCTTAGATAACTACAAAATGCTAATGCAATGTTCTCAGGGCGGAAAGCAGATAAAATTTTTAGATGGCGAAGATTGGAACCACCTGCAACACGGATTTATGTACCACTTCAAATGTTGTCCAACACAAACACAACTTCAAGGTCGTGTACGAAATCTGCTTAGGAAATGACTATAAAGTGTTCTGAAATGTAAGCAAATATTAATATTTTATGTATAAGATTATGGTGCTAACTATCTAAAATTCTTATCTGCCTTTACATATAAACTTGTATTATTTTCATAAATAATAACTCATTCCGCATTTGCTTAAATTTCAGCACATAATGTCATCATCTTCATCAAAGACCAAAGCAATAAAGCGCTCACCAGCTAGGGATTTCCTTCATATAATTCCTAGAAAGAAGTTGATATATGATGGAACAATTCGATTGTCAGAATCAATGTCGTACCCTATAGATGAATTCTTGGAGGAAAAAGCAAGAACAAATGAATTTTTGCGATGTTGTTTACATGAATGGTCTTGGTATGAAGACGATAGCTTATGGGATACATATCACGAAGTTATCAAAAGTCGTC